ATGTGTAATAAATAGAGCTGAGACATTTGCTTTGCCAAGAGGAAACTATGATAGAATTTTAGCTGTTAGCAGGCTAAAGATCACCTTTTTGTGTTAAAAACAGTTTCATGTGTGTAGATGTATGATGAATTAAGGATATTTCTATAAATATACTCTGAAAGTAGTCTGATATACATGAATTATATTGTGTTTCACAATTGTTTAGTTTTAGGGAAAGTCTGTGAATAATTAGCATCCATAAACGAGCGTTTCTTAGCTGCCGCGGTGACGTCACTGGTTACCATGGCGGGAGGGTGGGCTCGCGCTCAGCTCCTAGCAGCAGCAGGTGAGAGGGTGAGCCGCTCTGCTCAGACTCAGAGCGGAGGAGTAGCGGAGCGGAACCATGGGCAAGCTGCAGGAATTTGACATTACATTTACTAACAACAAGGTGGTTTACGGACCGGGGGAGTCCATTAGCGGAACTGTGAAAATACGAACCGCCAACTCACTGCAGTATAAAGGTAAGGGTTGGTTTTTATATTAACAACAGGCGAGAGGAACATGGTTTTGATGTATCTGTCTCCTTCCTCCTCCTGACTGGTGTCGAGGAGCTTAAATAAACTTTTTTTCCCACTATGATTTTAGATTCAGCTCGTTTTATTGTTTGATATTTTGGGTGTCTTTTGGTTTGGTGAACATTGTCTTGGTGTTGCTTGTTTCCTGGGAGTGGACGGAACATTTCCCCCCCTCTAACGTCCACCAGCAGCGACTATAACCGCCGCAGGCTGATTGTTTTAGGTTAGTTCTTCTGCCATCCTGAATCACATCCTGCTTGTTCTAACATGCTGCTTCCCTCTGTGCTCTGGCTAAACTCTTACAAGAAACCAAAAGCAGAACAAACAACAGGTGTCCAAGGTTTAAAAACCATATTTTCCACCATATTCAAACTCCCCATGCCTGTTTGTAGATTATATTACATTGTTAGATAAAAGAGAAACAATGTATGTAGAGTAGAATTAGGAGAGAACAAGGAGTCCATTGTATGTAATGATCCTTGTGGGATTTTCCTCTAACAATAACAAGGGCTGCTGTCTTTATCTGGAACACCTATTCAGAGTCAGTCTGTGTGGTTTCAGTTCATTATCATTGTTAAATAAAGTAAATTATTTATACTACTCCCCTTCCTTTAGTTACAAGATTAATGGTGTAGAAGTTGTTGGTGTTCTTTTATACCTGATGAAGCAATTTTTACCCACTAAATATTGATATCACTGGAAAAAAAATGTATTTTTTTTTCTTAAAATAAGTGCATTTGTTCTTGGATTGAGGAGGTAAAATAGACATTGTGCCAATGGAACAAGACAATTTACGCTTAAATTAAGAAAAAAAAATTGCATTGTCTTATTTCAAGTGCATATTATCTATTTATCTTGTTTTAAGAGTAAAAATACTCATTCCATTGGCAAACTATTTAATTTACCTACTCAAATTTAGGTTAAATACACTTACATGAGTTTCATTACACTTTCTTTACACTATAATGATCTAAAGGGTAATTATTGGCTATTATATGCTTATAATAACAAAAAAAAAAATTCTCCAAAAATACAGTTTGGCCTATCTTCCCAAAGTAAGAGTTGTAGTAGGATCCAGGTGAGGTTATCTATGTATCCTACAAGTTTGTAGGCCAGCGGTCACCAGCCTTTTTAAGGCTGAGGGCTACTTCATGGCTACCGAGTAATATCAAAGGCTACCTACAGTAAATCTCATCCATAAAAACTCATTTTTATTCTTATTTTATTCTTTTATTCATTTCTAATTTTCTTTTTAATATTGTCATTTTGAAACCACTGAAATATGATGAAATAGTTACTACATAAATGATTAAAGAGAAGAGCAACAGAATAAAAAAAATTAAACTTACTGAGTGAGTTCTTCTGTTTTCAGAAGACGAAGAGGGCACCCCATGTGGTCCTTGAGGGCCCCTTGGTGCCCGCGGGCAGCACATTGGTGACCCCTGTTGTAGGCACTACAATGATCTATAGTGTAGTCATTGCACATGAAATTAATTTGATAGTAATCCACTTCTAATTGGTGACACTTTTAAATATTTTTCTCTAAATATTTTGCAACTTGCAGATGGTCCCTGCTCATTTGCGAAGGACTTGTTTTGAGAAAACTATGGTTGTAGCTCACTGTCTACCTTGCTGTGATTGCGGAGAGGTATCTGTTTTGTAGAATAAATCATCCGCCGAAGAGTTATTAATCCGGAAAAGACGAATTTGTGAATATATTGCCAACTTTTCTGCATCCCATGATGTTGTCTCTCCTCCGCTACAGCATCGCGCTAAAGTGACTTGAATTATATTTGCCCCCTAGTAAATAGGGCAGATGGTCATTATTGTATAAATATTCTTGCTTTCTACAGCGTTCCAGCTCATGCAGCTATTTGTACAGATCAGTTATCGTCTGCTCGCTGCGTTGGTGGCTCCACTGTCTGAAATCATTCCGATGTTGGCGACACTGATGATGTAGATCTAGTTATATTTAATTACAAATATGATTTTTTTCCCCCCTGCTCTCAGGTAAAACACTTGTCAAGAGAGAGACTTGAGCTAAAACCGAAACTGAAGGGGTTGGAATGGTTATCCAACGACATTTTAATATGACTTCCCTACGACTTTAAGGCAGTCCTACATGCTTGACCCGTTAGCTATTTTTTTCTGCGCATGCACACTTTCAGGCATATATCTGTAGTGTGCTACAGTATCAGAGTCATTGCAGCTCACCTTTCGGGTGCATTTACGTCTGAAACGAGATTTATGAGTTGTGAAGTACTGTTGGGGGACTAGGGGGCTGACCAACGTTCTCGTATCTCTGGGCTTTCTAGTGTTAATTTAAGACATGTTTACTTATTTCTAGATAGTTTCTAGATAGTTTCCAGTGATCATATGATGTGGGGCTATTGTCATTTAAATCATATCAAGGGTGTTGAAAACCATCTTTAAGTCACTTCCTGAAAACTTTCAAGAAGTTTCTAGGTCTCTTTTTATTTTGGTTTCTAAATCAGTTACATTTCTTGTGCTAATGTGCTAACTTATTTGCACGTTTTTACAGGATGCAGTTGCCAGTTATTTTTGTCTCAGTTAAGATTGTTGCTTGTGAGAAGATGTAACCCAAAATAACAAAGAAAAGGCATAATTAGGAAGAAAAGAGATATAATAATGAAACGACTGGGCATTGCAAACACTGTATGATGAATTCTGAATTTTCTTCAGTTAGAAGAATGAATCAGTCAATCAATTAATTAATGCCATTTTAGGCTTGTTTTTTAACTAGCCAGACCTTGTGGTTATCATTAAAGCTGTAATATATAACACTTTCTTAGTTTTTTTTTTGTTTTTATTGCTTCAATTTTTTAAACTTATTTTGATTCCAGTACTTGATCATTATAAATAAACATTTATTTCCCCTTTGTTAGTTATTTTTAGGCAGGATTTGCACAATAGGGCCCTTAGATGGCTACACTTATAACACAGAAAATAAGTTGAAAAGCTGTGTTTTAAATACCATCAGAAAACAAAAACCAATGTAAAATGAAGAGTCCTAAAAAGATTAAAGCTTAGAATGCACTGAAAATAGGGCTGAAACAATTAATCAGATAAATTGTGATTAATCAATTGTTGAAATAATTGTCAACTAAATTAGTAATCGATTAAACGGTAACTGGAGTATGGAGACTCTAAAACGTGACTTTAGCTGACAGAAAAATCCATGTAGAGCAGTAATTATACTAAAATTGTACAATTGTACAAATACTATTGCATTATTAATGGAGTTATTGAAAACATTATCAACAGATTAATTGATTTGCAAAATAATTGTTAGTTGCTGCCCTAAATCAAATCAGTTATATTATCTAGATTAATGGTACATAAACCCCAAAATATGCCATTTGCTAGCAAAATATTCTACTTAAAGCATTAAGGAAAAAAATCTTAATTTGTCTTTTTTGGGTTGTTAAGAATATAAACATTTTCCATTTAAGATAAAAAAAACAACAACATATCTTTACATGTATACATAGGTATATCATTTTTTTTTTTTTACATGTTCTGCCATTAGTTTTCTGCCAAAGTTTTCTTGCCTGTATTCCAAGCTATTGTATTTTGAGGTTTTCATTTTAAAATGGTCTCTTTTAAGATTATTTGGTTAATCAAAAATAATTAATAGATAAAGAAATTTCTAATAGAATTGATAGCTTCAAAGTATAGATGATTGTTGGCCATCTGAAGTCTCTATTGATCAGTTCATCTTGTAAAACGTATCCTTTCTTTTACGGACATAAAGTTCAACACATGATTCAGTTAAACTACTCTTTCACTTACGGTTCCAGGCCTTACTAAAATGAACCCTGGGATTTAAAGTGTTTGTTAAAATGGGAATTAACACATGGTTAGATTCCACTGATCTAACTATTCTTTCATTCATAATTTTATTTAGCAAAGCAACAACCTCTGACTAATTATAGGAAGAACTGATTTTCTAAGATTTTCTTTGGTCACATAAAACAAAGGCTAAACCTTGAAGTAACCAACACTACAGATTGGTTAGAATATGTGGAAAAAGCCTGAAGTGTAGTGTTGGGAATAAAGGAGGATCTGCAGTGCTGTGAGCTTGATTATTTACTAAAGCTCATGCAGCTTTGAGATTTTAAACTACAGGTTAGTTATAAAATATTAATAGGATTGTGAACTGGGGTAAAAAAGAAGTGATTTTACATTATCTTTGGGCAGGAGCTGAAATTACTCTCAACCTCTCCCTTATTTTTTCTGTCTCATACCAGTATAAATGACTACTTTTCTTTCTGTTTTAAATTTCAGCTTAGTCACATTTTTTCATACATTCAGTAATTTCCAAGCCAAAGTACTCCATCCAAAGAAACAGTGGGGCTTTCAACCGTGTCCATTAATGTTCTGTAGAATCTATAGCTGCATTATGTCTGTTCATTGACAGCATCTTTGTCAGCATTAGGTGCTGATGGCTGCAAGGCTGCCCTCCATAAAGAAGCAGTTTATACCTTATAATTACATACTATGTATAAATTACACAACAGTCATTCTCACATCACACTAAACATTTCCTGTTTAAGGCCAGCTTGGATTGCTAAGTATTTTGTTGTTAGAGTTTACAAACATATTAGTTTGAGCAATTGTTTTTTAAACTGTGACTTGAGTCAAGTGTTTTTAATATCCTTCTAAAGTCTGGTTAATACCTGACGTGTCATTTTTGCTCCCACTTGTGCAAAAACATGAATCAATTAAGAGTCCAGTCTTTGATTATTTACACCGTCTAATGGCAATCAGGTGCAGAATGCACTTCATATGGTTCTTTCAAAATATAAACACTCAATAATCTCATTAGGTTATCACCTACGTAGTTTCCTTTTCGGCATTTTGTATAGAGAAGCAGCATCAGCTTTCTTGCGGCACTCAAAAGGAGAGAATTTGATAATAGAAAA